TTGCTCATGGTGGTACTGTTGGGTCTCTGTAAATAATGTTAAAGAGTTCGGTCTAGACCTGCTCTATTTGAAAAGTGTCCTGAGATAACTTCTGTTATGAATTGGCGCTATACAAATAAAATTGAATTGAATTGAATTGAATTGAATTAAACAATGCAATTGTTGTCAGTTTTAATTTACTTGGGTGACAGCAAGCGCAGCGCTGTTTCTCCGCCTTCGCTGAATGAATGCCAGGGGAAACAACGACATCCTGGCAAGATCCTTGATTAGTTTACTGGGTTTCGTTGCTGGAGAACGATGTTCTTGCCCGTCAGCCAGTAGTTGTGACGTCACGTGCAAAGTATGAGTTGTCCTCAACAACTCGTAGAAATATAGACTAGTCCTACACGTAAATGTAAGCATATTAAGATGTAATTGGACTAACGTTCTGTAGATGGCGTAGCTTGCTAACGTTAGTTCTATAATACATTTACAGACTACTTGATCTTATTTTGAAACTTCTGTTGAGAAACACTAACTAGCGAATGTTATATTAAACCGGATGTTGACAGTTACAGTTCAGCAAGAAAGGCGAAGAAGAAGGGGGCGTTCCAGTTAGCGAAAAGGGGAACCCCCACCAGCACGAGAACGCCCATTTGTGGCTGCAGTTGGATGATATTGGAGCCATCTACAGTCATCGCCGCTTCAACAGCATCAAGTAATCCTCCTGTCACCTCCACCTCAGAAGAACCCAATGATGCAGTATCAGGAAAAAAGGCTGCACCAATAGACCCTGCTGACTGGCCATCTCCTCTAACTGATGACGTACGAACAGGGTTAGAGGTCAATTTAAAATTGAAAACACCTTCACATTCCCTAAACAAAAGGACGGACGAAGGTTCAGTTATTTAAATCCATGTAATTTGTTTTGTCAATACTGGTTTCTTTAATATATTATTTTGTGCAGTGCCTTATTTATATTGTATTTATAATTTCTTTTATTACTTGTTTACAGTTTTTATTTTGTAGGTAGTTACATTTTATACTTTGTGTATGCTATTTATATTACATTTCTTGTATTATTTATTTCTAATTTATTATTTTCTTGTTAACCGTTTTGATTGAGCAACTTGTTTCTCTAAAAATAAAATAAAATGACAAAGCTATTAAGTTTCTTGCACGAGTATCAGTCCTTACAGAAAAACGCAGAGTTTTTTTGATTATGCGACCCGTTTTCTTCAAAAATGCGATGGAATATGCAGGATATTTATCCAATTTTATTCGACGAAATTGCGGGAACTTGCAAAATATGCGGACTTTGGCTGATTATGCATTGAATTATGCGATCGCATAATCGCGTTTTTCTGGAGGGACTGGAGTATATGTATGTATATAACTGGCAGTGGAATTTACTGTGATGCAAGGAGGGCATCACCTAAAATCTGGCCTAGGGTGCCGAATTGGTTAGGGCCGGGCCTGCTACAGTTTCAAGTGTATAAAAAACTACTGTAAACTAAGACATACACTAGAACTGGGTCACCGCCCTACCTTTGCATTATCTTTGCCTTACAGAAAATAGAGTGGATGTGAATTTTTTTTATCGCTGCCTTTCCACATTCACCACTTTGTCCTCTGAACTTCTGTACTTTATTAAATTCCTAGCAATCTTCTTTTCTGAGAGTGGAACCTTGTGCTGGCTTAGGTTTCCGTGTTTGTGAGTCAAAGTGTGTGCCCGCTGTTTAGTAGGTGTGCACACGTATGTGTGCTTGTCATAAATGAAAATCTGCACACATGCACCTATATACAGTATGCTGATGCAGGTGCATAGATGTGTGCATTGTAAGATGAGTGTATTTCATATGATGTGCAGAAGCACCACAGTTTAAACCGACAGAACAAATGCTGACTCAGTGCTGGAAGGGCACTTTGCAGAGTGTCTTAGCAGGATGCTTTGATGTTGAATCGAGGTGGCCCAGTGTCAACACAAGGAAATTGTGAAAGGAAAAACCCTTTTATTTTTCCTCTGCTCTGTAAACACAACTTATTTCAGGGCTGTGACTGGGGATAAGGTACTGCACATCACCACAGAAATAAAATATTAGAGATTGTTGCTACTTAATATACACAGCAGGATAATAGACTACTATTAATTTAGCTATGTACAAATATATATTATAGCACTGTTCTCAGCATCGGAAAATAACGACTCAACCAGAATTAAAAGATTTTTCAACTTGTCATGTGCAGGCTCCTTAATGGTACCTTGTGGTTTTTGACCACAAGTTGTGCTATGGAGCAAACTATTTACAAGTAGGTTCCCGTCTTGTTTGTATGCATGTGAGCGAAAAGATACACAGTCCTGCCAATCGGTTCATGTTATTAACATGCAAAAAGACAGATCAATACACCAACAACAGCAGTGAAGAAGACTACTAGCTAGTAAACATAAATGTGAACCTTGTTGAATTCATGAAGAAACATTCATTTAACACGTTTCTTAGACTTCAAAGGTAGCTTACACACACACTTTTGAAAGTATGGCCCCCATAGTGCTTAGAAAAATTCTGGCCTATGGACAAAATTGTAGATCCCTTGTTTACAAGCAAACTCCACAGAGCACTATTTAAAAAAGTGACTGAAGGTGCAGAATGTTCGCTACCTTAAGTACTTTTTAGTGAGTCGTTATTTTCACCTCTCCTTGATTTCAGTTTTGTGCAGTTGTTCTCCCTCTTGCATCTCTCTGTTTTCTGCAGGCAGTTGTCAAATGGTACCGCAGAGTCTTTTTGCCCTATATTATAATTGTATTATCATCCCTCCACAAAATAAATCACTTCAGGATAAAGACAGGTGCACAGCTGGGGTCCTTGGAGGGACACTTCACTTCCCTGGCTTTTAGCTACTCTCTTCTTCCTTTTTCCTTTTTTCCTCACCAGATTAATCTCTCCGTGCAGCTCTGCTGAAAAGCGTCCCAGTTTGGGTGACGCACAGTCGGAGTGCTATAAATGACTCCGATCCCACAGCATAAACTGTGGAGCAGCCATACCACGAACAATAGGGGTCTTAGAAGGATTCATTTAGAAGAGGGTTGGTGGAAAGACAGCTAGTCAGACAGATGGACAGAAAGAGAAGATGGACAGAGAGAAAGAGAAAGAAAGAAACCTTTTCTCATATGTACCATCCCAATAATACAACTAATACCATTAGTCTGGTTATCAACCGAAGCCACAGATGCGTTACAAGACAAAGTCATATCAAACTGTATTTCCTTAGCACTGTTTACACATGTATATTTAATAAAAATGAACTGTCACAAGATATCTAACATTATTGAAAGTACATGAAAATGCATGCATGGGAGTGCCATCTTTTTAACCATGCTCATCACCGAAAGCCCTCTGGTACTGTCAGGAATATTCCTAAATGTGCCTAGTATACATGCAAGACAACTAGTTTTTATTGTTTATACAAGCAACAGAGTTCAAACAGTATCACATGTGAAGTTGTAAACAGAAAGCGTCCTCTGAACATCACAAGATGGCCACACACAAGCCCTCACACCTCTGAACTCACTGACACTTTCAGCTCACTACTTCAGGCTGCAGCCATCACTACATTGCCCTATCATCTGGGAAAATCTTGATATTGATAGCTAGCTCGTCTTGTTAAAAATATTGTCGAATTATATTTACCGTTTGTCAACTGTGCGCAGTGTTATTGGCTTTGAATCTTGTCAGCCTAATGTTAGCTCTCTGGCTCGTAGCTGAACCCAAGTGCTCTATGAGCGGAGGGAACTAGAAACATCACCCAAGTCCTATCTATGGTTCGTCCTATTTTCCGGGGTAGTGAACAACGTTTCCATTGCATTAGAACCTTATGGGATGGTAATGATTCTTCCAGGTATTAGGAAGGACCTCAGATGTTACCAGGGAAACTGAGTTATGGCTAGTAAAACACTTTTAAAAAGACTTTGATTGCAAAGTGCATGAAAATCTAAAATATTGATTGAATTTTTTGTGCCCATAATTAGGAATTAATGCGGAGGCGACCATCGTTTGCTGCGTGCATAACAAGCAATCCATCTAACCTGAAACAGGTTAACAGGTTCTCTTGAAATATTAAGTAGCTGTAAGTTTGTACTAGTGCACATCTTACAATATGAGAGGACCAGTTCTGACATGAGTCAGTACGAGTCCCAATACAGTGTCCTAATGTAATTCACAGCTACTGTTTCACATTTTAGCACTCAGTGCCGCTTTGACTAATCCATTATTTGCCTTCGTTGGGATAACTGCTAGTTCATTATTTTGCTGATATATATATATATAAAGGAAAAACTGAAAACCATCCTTTTTTTGTCTTGCTTACTTAGTCACAGTTTGTACACAGTTTGATATGAGCAATAATTTATATGCTCATTTTGCTGTTGACCAGTTATGTGTTGACAATATCAAAGACGCCATCCAAACCCAAACAGATCATTCCTCTGTTAGGGTATATCCCTGAAGGGAATGTAAACAATTACACATCTGTAAGCACTCCACCGATTTCACATTGCACTCATATAACATTGTTAGACTCATGACAGTTTACAAATAGAACAAAATCGATGCTGCAGAACCAGAGATACTGTATGTTTTATTGCATGCATTCTTCTTCCTTGTCCAAACTGACTCCTACATTACCCACAATGCAACTCGACGGCAGACAGTTCTGCCAGAGTTTAAGTGTGTTATGCTACTAGTGGCTAATATAGTCTTGTGCTATAGCCTCAAGCAGAGATGTGGGGAGGAACTCCACACCTCTCCAACTGACCTTCACTGTAAAACTGCATGTTGGCTGCGTTTAAGGGCCATAATAGCTAACAGACAGCATTATTGCTTGTCCTGACTTAAAGGCATACTATGCAGTTTTCCGGTTTTGTCAAACAGCTACCCCTAGAGTCGCTGCGGAGTACTTGTATTTAACGTTTACAGTCGTAAATGGAAATTTCTCTGCTGCTGGTGAAGAATGAAATAGAGAACTTCTGCCGGCCGACAAGTTTATTTTCTTTGCAAAGAAAAGGTCAATCAACACACGAGCGGTCAAAGATGAAGAAAGACCCCGAACATGGGGAGATCTAAACATTTATACCTGAGGACCACCTCTTTCACACCCCTTTGTCTGCTGTAGGGGTCTGGCCCTCCAGGAAGTGCTTTCCCACCCCTCTGCCTACTGCAGACATCAGGGCCGACCCCCTGCTGGTGTGTTTTACATATGAGGTGTACTGCAGGATCTTGCATTCAGGTGCAAAGCCAAGTCCAGACATCACGATCTACAAAACACAAAAGGACCTGGCATCTTGTGTTAGGAGGGGGAGGTTGGGCATCTGCAGTGGCTGAAACAAAGAAACTGAATCTACCATTACAATTCCCCCTTTTGATTATTCATTAATCACTAACAGTAAAAAAAAAATAAATAAAAAAAATAGAATAAGAATAAAATAAAGTATATAGTCCCAACTTAATTATGCGACACATCAATTCACATGGATTTTAAAATGTATCATCATGGCAGTGATGAGGAAGGAACAAAAGAAAGAAAAGAACAAAAGCAAAAACATTATTAACATTATTTACAAAATGTCACCATCAGAGTTATAATCTGAGCTGGGGTAATGATGGGGATCAGAAATGTGAAATGAGGCTGGATTTTGATTGTCATTGTTAAATAGGTGAAGGTTGCATTTTGTCCTTCTGTCAGAGTGACGGTCTTGGCAGGTTTGTAGGTGTAGGCCTCTGTCAGCATCGTCCAACATAATAGGATCAGGATCAGGTGGTGCATGGTGTAGTCTATTGGTAAAGGTTTGCGTTGTTAATCCTGACATCTAGTTGGTGGTTGTTGAATTTATGGAGTTATTCCTCGTGTCGTCCTCTCCTTGCGCTCGTTCGTCCTCGCGTTGTCCGTCTCCATGTCGTCCGTCCTCACGTCGTTCAGGTTGACAGCTGAATTCCTCTGTTGGTTCAGGGACCTTCCTGCAGTGGTTGACGTGTACCCACGTTGCTCTCTCAGCTATCTTCACAGCAGTATGTGTTGTCAGGAGCACCTGGAATGGACCTCACCAACGTTTGGAGTGCCAGTGCTTCCTTCTGAAGTCCTTTATCACCACCCAGTTGCCAGGCTGGAAGTCATGAAGTAATGTGGAAGCTGGTAGTGGAAGGGCTGATTTCACCTGCTGAGAGATTTGAGAGAGAGTGGAAGATAAATTTTTGCAGTATTGTAACATGTCATCGTCACATAGGCCAGTGGAGGGGAGTGGCCTGGTTACAGGCTCCACTCCTAGAGATGGAGGTCTGCCAAAAAGAATTTCAAAGGGGCTCATGTTCACTCTGGATCTTTTTCTCATTCTTATGTGCATTAGAACAATCGGCGGGGCCTTTGTCCATGGCAGCCCCGTTTCCTAACAGCATTTTGCTAGTTTTGATTTCAGAGTGCCATTTTCTTGTTCGACCGCACCTCCACTGGCAGGGTGATATGCACAATGTCGTCTGAGGTCAATGGCAAGAAAATCACTGATTTGGGTTATTGCAGAATTGAAAAAGTGTGTGCCATTATCGCTGCTCAGTTTAGTTGGTATTCCCCATCTGGGAATGATTTCTGTTAACAGAGCTTTTGCTACCACTTGGCTGCTTTGGTGTCTTGCTGGGAATGCTTCAACCCATTTTGACCACATGTCAACCATCACCAAGCAGTACTTCTTCCCTTCTGCTGGCGAAAGTTCTATGAAATCCATCATCAAATGTTCGAATGGTCTATCTGGTGGTGGGTGTGCGGCGTGTGTGATTGTTTTGGTTTTACCTGCGTTATGTGTTGCACAAACCATACACGATTGACAAAACTTCTGCGCATGAACTGAAAAACCTTTGGTGAACCAGAGTTGAGTTATGGCATCTAACATCCCCCCTTTTGACACATGGTCCAATCCATGTGTCAATTTTGCAAAGTGAGGAAAGAAATGTTTGGGCAGGCAGGGTTTGTTATAGGGTCCCTGCCACACTGCTTCTTTCTGTGTGGCACCGCAGCGTCTCCACAACGTCTTTTCTTGTGGTGTGGCAAAGGACTGCATCGCTGTAAGAGAACTTGGAATAGAGACCGGAGTTGAGACAAACATAGGATCAAGGATGGTGGGTTGGAGTGCAGCTCTTTTTGCAGCAGTATCAGCTCTTGCGTTCCCTAGAGAGACAGAATCTGAGTTGTTAGTATGGGCAAGGCATTTACAAACAGCAATTGAGGTTGGGAGCAAAATGGCATCTAGAAGAGCTGCAACCTTGTCATGATGAAGAATAGGTTTCCCGTCAGATTTTAAGAATTGTCTGTGTTTCCACAGAGTACCAAAATCATGTACAACATGAAATGCATATCTAGAGTCGGTGTAGATAGTTACAGTCTTGTTGCTTGCCAGCTTGCATGCTGTGAGTTCTGCTGCTTGTGCAGAATAGTGAGAGGGGAGTGAACCTGAGGCAAGAGTTTCATGATTAGTGACAACAGCAAATCCAACTCTGTTGCGACCAGTTTGTGGGTCGCGGGAAGTGGATCCATCTACAAAAACAACCAAATCAGGGTTAGTTAATGGAGTTTCTTGTAGATCCGGTCTTGGGGAGCAGACCTGTTGGAGTACAGCAACACAGTCATGTTCTTGTCCATCGTCAGGTGTGGGAAAGAGAGTGGCAGGGTTTAAAACATTGCATCTTTTTACAGTGATGTTAGGCATTTCTAAAAGCACAGTGTTGTATCTTAGCCATCGTGCTGTGGAGAGATGAGAAGTTTTTTGTTCAAGTAAAATCATGGACACAGCATGTGGAACCAGGAGAGTTACATCAGAATAGCTCACAATGTCTCTGGAGGCCATGATTGCCTTTTCAGCAGCGGCCACAGCCCTGAGACATCTTGGGAGATCTAGTCTTGAGGAAAAATAAGCTACAGGGCGTAGTTTATTTCCGTGATCCTGCAACAACACAGAAATCATGTATCCATTTTTCTCATCTACCGTTTGGGTGAAAGGTTTGGTAGGATCAGGTAGACCCAAAGTTGGGGTAGTCTGTAAGGCAAGTTTTAGTTCAGTGAAAGACTGTTCTGCTTCAAGAGTCCATGTGATCTTATCTTGTGATTGTAGACCTTTGCCATGAATGAGGGAGGAGAGTGGAGCTTCAAGAATGGCATAGTTTGAAATGAATTGTCTACAATAAGAGCACATACCAAGAAATGACATCATCTGTTTTTTTGTGATGGGTTGTGGAAGATTCTGAATTGCATCCACTCTTTTTGGTGAAAGAGTCTTTCCTTCAGAAGTGATGACGTGACCTAAGAAAACAACTTTTTCCTGGACAAATTGAAGTTTGGACAAGCTGGCTTTGTGACCACTATTAGCAAGATGTTTCAAGAGTTTTACTGTGTCGGCTTCACATTGCTCTTTGGTTGGACTGCAGATCATGAGGTCTCTGGGTTGGACTGCTGCATTTACTGCTTGCAGATCCTGAACAAAATGCCATTCCGTTGGTTGATCCTTATCTCTGATTTTCTTGACAGGAAACAAAGGTGTGCGCACTGGAGAATCATCACAGGGAATAATTACTCCTGCTGCTTTCAGAGACTCAAAGACTGGTATTATACCATCGATGGCTTCTTGTTTAAGTGGATATTGAGTCTTGCAAGGTCTAAAGTCTGATTTTGGAGTAATGACAACAGGTTCACAGTCTTTGATGAGGCCAACATCATACTTACTAACAGCCCACAGTGTCTTAGGGACCTCCTGTAGGGCTGTAATCGCTGCTGCTTGTTCTTCGGACAAAAAGGAAAAAGATTTAAAAGTGCTTTTAGGTACCAGCTGGATTGTTCTTTGAGTGTGCACAAAAAATGGTAAACTCTTAGAGTAACACTGCAGTGTTGGTGAAAAAAAAATAGATCGATCAGATGTTTCTTGCCAATCGGCTGCGCGCTGACATGATTTTATAAAAGGTCCCAAATCTTCCCAATTATCTGATGTGTGTTTTGCAAGTGTGATGTGTGGGACTGAATGGTCTATGGTGTACGCATCACATTGAGCTGGTGTAAGAGAGACTGATATAGCGCATTTATGTTGTGTCCAATAAATCTGTGACAGTGTGAGTTTATCGAATCTCTCTCTCAACCAACCTTCCTCATATGGCTCATCAGGTCCTGGTGACACATGAGAGGTACAATGCAGATCCTCTGGTGTCATGAAATCTATTGTAGCTGTTAAAACTGTTTTTCTAGCTAAAGTAACAAGCTCAGAGGCAGTTGATGGTTGCAATTTCCATAGATATGCATATTGTAGTTCTGGGATGTGGTGAACAAAAGAGTGTGAAAGATTTGGCTCCAGATCGGATAGTCTGTGAACTTTGACACCTTCTGGGTTTGAGATCAGACAAAGGCCTAATTTGCACATCAAGTCCCTGCCCATCAGGTTAATGGGACAGACTTTTGAGAGCAAGAATACATGTTTGAAGCTTATATCTGGCCCATCCGCACATTTGAGTGGGACAGTAATGTTCTCTCTAATTGTTTGACCTGATGAACCAACAGAGTACACATAATCTCCACTCATTTTTGGTTTTGTAGTGAGTTCTAAAGCTTTTATCACAGAATGTGTGGCTCCTGAGTCAACTAAGAATGCAACTTTTTGTTCTGCAATGGTCAATGTATGTTGTAGAAACCTCTTGAAATGATCAGATGTGTAGTGAACATATGTTAGAGCAATTGTATATCTGTTGTCTGAATTCTCTATAGATTGTGTATTAATCTGCTCAGTATGTGTGTGTGAGTGTGGTGCAGTACCTTCTCTCGATCTCACAAGTTGGTTTGGCTTGTCAGCAGGAGTCCATCCCTCTCCGACAACCCTTTCCCATTTTCAGTCCGACTTGTCCACCGGGGTCGATGAGGTATTTTTGGGCCACTCGCGTTTCCAATGTCCATGTTGACCACACAGGAAACAAACATCCTTTGCAATTTTATCTTTCCAGTGCCTGTGTCGGTTATCTTTTCCTCTATGTGTATGACCTGGTTGTCCATGTTCTCGGATTGTGTTATACATGGTTATTGCTGCCATGTGAAGCTCTTTCTGTGTTGTTTCTTCATTTTTCTTTTTCTTTGAGAGTATTTGGTCATGGGCATGTATGGCGTGTCTGCGAAGTTCGGACAGGCGTGCATCATCCCATCCAATGCAGGAAGTTTTAACAGCGGAGGCAATGTTTGGTTTTAGTCCTTTTAAGAAACAGTTACAAAGATGAATTTCCCACACATCTGGAATATTGTTTAATCCATCAGGTGGTTGAAGGCCACTGTAGGTGTTGAATACCTCTGTCAGGCGAGTGAGATATTCATCAGGGTTTTCATCATCCTTCTGCTTGCAGGCAGTGATTTTCTCCATGTTAACTTTGACAGGAAAAGCTTGAGTGAATGCATCACAGAGAAGGCGGACAACATCTCTATAGACTCATGTTCCCAGGTGATGTGCTTACAACGGATGTCAGCATGTGGGAATCTTTCAGCTATTTTTTGCCAATCTGATGTTGTGGGGTTGGGCAGATGTTGTGAGGCTGCTGTGATGTCAGCAGAAGTCCATGGACGGAAAACCAACGTTGCACCTTCTGGTCCAGATACTTCAACCATGGGCATGTTGAAGGCTGCATCTTGATTTGGATGACGCAGTCTATGTGCGATTGGAGAAGGGGGGTTGGTTGTAGGGTTCTGTGGTGGAACGGACACATCAGGGGCACAGTGAGCTGCTCCTGAACTTGTTTTTTGTTGTGGCATGGCGGAGTCTGCTTCCCTTCTTTTGCTGGGTGTCACTGTGTTGTATGGTGGTGGAGCTGAAGGATGAATAGGTGGGTTGCCGTCAAGGTCTGGATCCAGCTTCAAAACCGCCAACTGTGGAAACAAAGAAGAAGTCTGCGAGTCTGGTGTTCTTTGTGTGTGTGAAATTTGCTTTTCATTGGTTTCAACTTTTTCACATGGAAAAGGGAGTTGTTTCAGCATTATTTTCCTATCTCATGTCTCTGCTTCCCCTTTCCACATCTGAAAACATTCTTTTTGACCTTCCATATTTTCTAATTTTCTTACAGAAACCTTATTTTTCCTTCTCATTTTTTGTTCTTTTCCCTTCAGTTTTTCTTCTAATATCGATATGTTTTTTAAAAAAAAAAAAAAAAAAAAAAAAACTGAGGGATCCCCCTATTGGGAATCCAAACTCAGCTGTCCAGATATTTAAATATTTTAAACTTTTATCCCCATATTTCCTTCTCATAACATCCACAATCGCCCCCTCCGGAGGTCCAACCTCCAGAGCTTTTACTCCCCATTCCAAATGGAGGTCGTGCACAACTATTACAATACAGACGTCTCTGTAAAGGGTCACTTCGTTTAAGGAACAAGTGATAAAGACCTGGTCACTTCGTTTAAGGAACAAGTAACAAAGACCTGGTTACTTCGTTTAAGGAACAAGCAACAAAGACCTGTTTAAGGCAACAAAGACCTGATCACTTTGTCTGTGCTACAAGTGAAAAAAAGCAAATCACTTTGTTTATGGTTACAAGTGATTTAAAAACCTGATTGCTTCGTTTAAGGAACAAGCAACAAAGACCTGGCTACTTCGTTTAAGGCTACAAGCAACAAAAAGCAGATCGATTGTGGATATGTGAGAAACGGAAATATTTAGCCAATTTTAAACCCAAAATTTAAAGAAGAGTAATTTAAATGTCAATATTTCAGTGCTCACCAGATGAATTTCGTCGAATTGCGTTTGTGGAAATCCCAGGGGCGACGATCTGGGACGTTTGCGGTCAGTCCTCCCTTCTCAGAAGAGGATTTTGAGGTTGGAGGCTGAAAAGTTTTTCTTCCAGGATGGCCTGTCACTGTCCGTGTCCCGTCCCAGACGATCGCTCGAGGGATCCCACTTCGACACCAAATCGTTGTGGAAATTTCTCTGCTGCTGGTGAAGAATGAAATAGAGAACTTCTGCCGGCCGACAAGTTTATTTTCTTTGCAAAGAAAAGGTCAATCAACACACGAGCAGTCAAAGATGAAGAAAGACCCCGAACATGGGGAGATCTAAACATTTATACCTGAGGACCACCTCTTTCACACCCCTGAATCTATAATTGGATGCTTGTCACTGGTTCATCCCTACTTAATGATTCAGGCTGATCAGAGAGGTGTATTTTACCCCCCAAAAAACCTTGCCAAATGCCACATTAAACATACTTACAATACAATACATAAATTCACTACGGGCGGCTGTTCAAGTTTCAAATCATGTTGTTTTACTGAAGGTGTTTCCATTTTCTCGTTCATTGGGGATATATTTTCCACCCTCATGATGCTACATCCTGTCTCTTGTACAGTAATTATGATCAACATGTACTGGTGTTCATGCCACAGCTGGTTTATTTTTCTTCTAACAGTTTACAGGGGCCTATATTATGAAAACCATTGTGTGTGAGCTATTGTTGTTAGTTCCTATGCAGCTGTTACTGATTGTTAGATCTTGTTCCAATACACAAGCATCTTAAAGAGAGGGACAAACTCACCACTCACAGACACACACACACACACACACAAATTAATTATATGAATTTATAAACACCTTATGGAGTCACAAACAATACCCCCCTCCATCTCAGTCACAGGAATGTTATTAATAAGCATAGGTGTTTGTGTTTCTGTGGGGGACGGCAGTGCAATTTTGCATGGCATACCAATGGTGCTACAACAGCGTCTAAATTCTGTCACTCAGATGCTGTTATGACCTCAGTCGCCGTTCCTGCGATGGAAATCTGCCTTTAATTAGAACAGCCACACATTGGCACAGAAGGCACGGTCGCAGGGGAGGGAAAAGGTGTGTGAGTGTGTGCGGTAAATTAAGTTCCTCTGGCAGTTGGAGGCAAAGAAAGGTAAATGAGGCAAATGAGTTGAATGATATAAGAGCATTTTTTCAGCATTGTATTTACTTAGTTTAGAAAACAACAACAAACATTAAGTGCACGTATGATCTTCACCTACGGAAACGTTCATATTTATGTGTCGTATTATCAGTTCAATTGTATGTTAAAGAGCACAATGATCCAAATCATCAGAAGTTTTACAGTTTTACAGATTGTTTTATTTTTCTTTATTTTTCTCTTTAGCAGATTGTTACCCCCTCTACTGGCTCAGATCCTCCTCCTGTCATGTAACTCTGTAATAGACATAGAAGTTATAACCCCTACTCCGTACTCTGCTAGCAAGCTCTTTGTTCCCTGTCCTCTATACAAATATCCCTGCTGCATCATTTACTCAGGTAAACCTTTAAATCCTTTGTTTCTAGTTCTAGCTGCTGCCGTGCTTCTTTTGTACTTCCCAGAGGTTACTTGTTAGTCAGACCAGCACATTGTTTCCTTCTTCTGTTGAGTTGTGGTGGCTATTGATGTTCATAATAACTAGCTAACCTGAACTGTTTCTACAGCAGCCCAGAACAAAACACTGGTTCTAGATAGGGCCATTCACGTTTTTTTCCCCTGAGCAGCTACACCACTAAATCCACACTGGTCCTTTAATTCTCAAATGCATACCTGTTCTTCAGTGACTTGGGACTACATTGAACCCTGTCTACTTCATTAATTTCATTCAGTTAAGGACTCAACTCCCCTATATTCTTCACACTATTTATCTTTAACAGTGTTATGGTTTCGAATTGTCAAAAATGATTTTAAAAAGCACTGTTTTCTCTTCAAAGTTTATAGGGAGACTTGAGGTGTGTAAGAGTGTTACATTTCTTATTCACGGTGTGCTGGAATCAAGTGATTGCAGGAAATGTTGCTGTTCCTTTTTGGCATCATGATGGCGCTGTTGCCGCACTGTCACAATGAATGAATACAAACACAATAATGAAAAAGTTTGTTTATATTAGCTCACTGTCACAGTAACGTGATGGTGCAGCACCTGAGTGTCAGGTTTAGTAAAGAGCAGCATTTTCTTTGACATTAGAGCAGAAAAGCAACACTAGAGCAAGAGAATGACGAAGCCATGAATGAGATAACGGTCAAGATACTGTCCAAGTAGCGTGAACCTCATATAGTTACTGGAACTTCCACAAAAACACAGCATAACACAAGCATCTTGAAACTGCCTGTCTTTAGAGAAAAGTCCAAAACAGGAGAAACTATCACTGTAAGTTAGCAGACAAGGCATATTACACTATAAGCATATTGCACTGTGGGACGGAACTGGAGGACTCTGGCCCAAACATGGCATTATACAACATTAAAACAACTACAACATAAATGCAGACACATTAACACTGTAAAGATGTTAGTGTGCACACAGTGATTTTGGAAGCTGAAGAAGAAAGACTGGCTTGAAGTCAGAGGAGATTGTCAGAGCATGTCTAATGGGGGCCAGACAGAGAGAGAGAGAGAGAGAGAGAGAGAGAGAGAGTTGGCTCAGCATACAATATATTAAGCATATCAAATTCTCCATCTCTACCTTTCTGTCTCTCTTGGGATTCATTCAGAGTGAGAGTGATGCGCCTACAGGGAGATGAAAGCAGAGGAAGTGCTTTGTAAATGAATAACCTCTACACCCCTCACTTCAGCCATTATTCATTAGACTGTGTGTGTGTGTGTGTGTGTGTGTGTGTGTGTGTGTGTGTGTGTGTGTGTGTGTGTGAGAGAGAGAGAGAGCAAGAGAGAGATAAAGAGGAAGAGAAGAGAGGGAAAGTTTGTATGAGTGTTTTTTTATGTAAAAGTAACAGAAAAGCACAAGAAAAAAAGTGTGAGAAGAAAATAATGTACCAACATATGAAGAAAAAGTGAATGCTTCCCTGCTATTGGAGTTTTCTTCTAAAGTGTGTGTAGACATGAGGGCTGATGTTCCCCAAGAGTGTGCTAGACATTAGACCTAGGCAATCACACACCATCAGGCCTCTGCCCAATGACTGCCTCAATCCTAATTAGGTCCATGCCTATGCACACACACATACACAGACAGACAGACAGACAGACAGAGAGCGTATAAAATATCCAACCCCTAGTGGATCAGCTCAAATGGTTTGCTGGAACATACAACTAGAGGGAATAATGGTGAACTGGACGGTCATATTTGAGATTTCTGTGGTTCTTCTGTGCTTCGGTTTGGTTGTTTCAATTTGGCTTTGTGCTTTGCAATTGTATGGTGATCGGACTGGCAAATACCATGTTTTCTTTTAAAATGGCAGTTTTTGAAGCATCATTGTTGCTCAGTGAACCAAAGAAAATACCACATACTTGCAGCTTTCATGAGTAATCACAAGCTCTGTTCATTCTCCCAGTCTGTCTACTTTGTCCTCAATTTTTTTTTTAAATGTCAGCTGATGAAATCAAAATGATGTTACATACACAGTAAATTCCACATTTTAACTTATAAATGTGGATGAGATGAACATTTCTTAGAGTGCCCACATTCCTGATACAGCCCATCATCCTTCAAATAGCTCCCTGAGATCTCTTTATAATCTATCTCATCTCATTTCTCACCAAGCCTCCAACTCAACTGTCTGTGGTTTACACCACATGGGTTCAATGGACAACAGTCATTAAAAGACTGATGGTTTCACATCAGCCAACGGACAGGTCCAGCTGGGTCCCCGAAATATGAAAATATATGCTTCTCTATTTATAGTAGTTACAAGTAACTTCTTTTTTTTAACTACGCTAATATCCAGTATACAATAAAAATTGAGTTTGACGGTACAAGAGAGTTTTGAGACTGTTTTCTTTGTGTTGTGTCTTGTTACAATAAACAACAACAGTTTTATTAAATAGGAAATAAAAACCAGTGTGGCCAAACAGATTAAAATCGATCTCGATATATTAAATTTTATACCACAATGTTGAAATATATTATGATATAGTGCATTTTCTTGAAAGATCTATTCAGAAACTGTTTATAGAGAAAAGGGTGTGGTATTTTTGGTTAATGGTAATGCTTTAATGAATTAAATTAGAATATCCTCCAAAGAACAACAGCATCAGTCGTTTCAGCAATAAAATGCAGAAATCTGTTTATGTTCAAGTGGCGAAGCCCCCTAGAAGCCTTAGTATTAATGACAGGATCGAAGGAGGAAATGAGGTGACATTATAATAGAAGTTCACGTAAGAAAGAAGTCAGGGTGGATGGATGGGTTGACAAAACATCACACTTTAATGCTGGGCACAGCTGTTTGTTTCCAGCTTCCAACAAGAAGGACAGCATTTCACTAACCTTAACCATGCGTTTATAATTGTCACCAGGACGACAAACGTTCCCAAACCTTTACAAAGTAGTAATTTTAACCCAAACCAAAATGTTTCTTTAGACTTAACAAAGTATTCAAACCATATTCATAACCTTTTCCTGAACCTAAACAAGTAATTATTGTGCCTAAATGTAACAAAACTATAGTGTTATGTTATAGTGTTAACAAGATTTGTAATCATTTTGGAAGGCACGAACAAATGATCGTCCTGCTGATAGGGGCGTCAGGTCAGAAAATGCTTCTATGTGTTGTTCTAGAGGGCTTAGACAAACAATATATTTTGTTGTTTAATTTTGAGGGCTTGTTGTTTTTGTAAGTAGCCACAGGTAAATTATTTGGTATATAGGTAAATATGCATTTAAGCCAACTATTCCTAATTCCCTTGCATTTTCCTTCAATATCTTCAGGGACTCAGGGCTTTAAT